GAAGAAGAGGGAGAGATTGGTGTAATGAATAGTGCAGAGAACTTTGTGTTTTAGCAGACGTATGCAAAAAATGGTCACCACCACCACCTAGCTGTGTCACCTTGAGTGACTTGCTTACCCTCTCTGATCCTCAGTTATCTCATCTGCTAATGGGGACAATAATACTAGATAGTATTCCAGCCCCAGGCGAAGCTGTTCCTGACCAGCTGCGCTCCGGGCTCTGCTCTGTGTCCCAGCATCCCCTGGCTCACGCCCGCCACAACTCTCCTGACGCTTGTGTCACCACTGTCTTCAGGAGGGCTCCCTGCCCACTGGACTGCGAGCTCTCTGAGGACCGTTTTCCTGCAGGGAACATTCCTGTGTGCACAAAGTCTGCCAAAGCCCAGGTCCTGGAGCCTGGTGCCCCGCAGGCGCTCAGAACCCGATAAATCCTGTGAGTGACGATGGGGCGAGGTGCTCGCACAGAGTAGCGTATCTGCCGTGATGCCACCAATATGTTTGTTGGAAACAAAATATTGGAAATGAGTGGCTAGAACACATCTCTCGGCTTCAATTTCTGTTGATCCAGGCGGGTGGTTTCCTTTGTCTCCACACTGTGAAGAAGCTTCTCGTACCAGTGCAACAGCCCCTGGCCCCCCTTAGCAGAGCACACGGCTGTTATAGCAGCTGTTTCTCAACGGAAAACGTGTATTGTCAGTGAGCAGACACCGAAAAGCCTCTGCTTAAATTTCTGTTCCTTCAAGAACAGAGGTGAGGGACATCGGGACTTCTCTCCTAGTCTTTCCTGCCTGGAATCTCTGCATCGTTCCTGGGCGTTCCATGGCCGGGGAGACGGTGGGTGGCTGTCCTTAACTCCTGTGTAACGGCTCCCGTGATGCATGTGGTTACTCTCACACCCTGATGTCTGTCTCTTCTCCCTACCTTGTTATTGGTGAGATATGCGGTGTCTCTGTAGCGTGAATGCCTTGTTGGTGTCCATGTGCTTCCGTGCCATGTTATTGGCTGGCTGCCCCCGGGAAGAGCACCGGGTCTGGTGGAATGCATGCGTGCTAGACTGAGGCCCTGCTTTGAGGATCTGAGGCCACACTCAGTGTGGAGAAGTGAATGCAGACCTGGAACTCTGGGAATCACGACTGTATTGTATTTTTTGTGTCGGCTACTGTGACCTGATGAGCTACGTGTAGGTAAATGCTCTCCTGCTCCCAAACATTGAGTATTGCCCCTTGAAAGAAGTTCTGACGGGTTGCATCATTATCCACAGCAAGTAAATATACGTATAGAAGGAAACTAGCTTCAGAATTCAGGTTTGTTCATCCAGATTGTTTTGTTCTCTGTCAGCTCTGAGATCGGTACCTGTAAATCCCAGAGCAGCAGGTCTGAGTTAATCATGAGGTGCTCTCACTGTGCAGATATGGAACGGGAGGGCAGGGGGCTCCAGAGAACACAATTCAGCAGTCAGTTTGTGGCCCTGCAGCAGGACCAGCCTTCATATCATCCAGATGGAGAGGACGGAGGGAGTCCTCCGGCCCGCGGAGTCTTGGAAGCAGGGCCCGCTGTCCACAGCAGGTGGTCCTGCAGGAGCTGCTGGGGGCCGTGGCTTAGGGGCTCCACGGGACTGTCCTCGGCGCCTGGCGACCCTGAGTCAGAGCGTGTGCGTAGCCGTTTCCTGCCTGCTGTGTGAGAACCAGAGAGCTCGTCACTGAGTTATTCAAGGGTCGTCTTGGGAGTTAGACATGTGCCCCGTCATGTCAGGAGGCAGGAATAATGAAATCGACTTGCTTCCCACACTCAGAGGCCAAGGATGTGTACCTGGCAAGTGCCCACGCAGTTCTTCTGACCTGAAAATAAGTTCTACTCTCTGTCACTGTGCTTCTAGGTATCCCCAGAGCTGTATTACTGCTGAAACCTAGGAGACTTTCCCTGACTGAAGTGGCTGAAGACAGGTACCTGTATTGGACTCTGAACTTGTGATCTCATCAGAGAGCTTGGGAGCTCAAGTGACCGGCCAGGCTTTCCTCCCAGCTCGAGGGGAGGAGGTAAGGCAAGTAGGGCTTTTCTTCCAGAACCTCCAAGGCCTGAATTCAGATGGTCATTTGGGGTGTGTTTAGCAGGGGTAACGTGGCATTTCCCTTTCATTGGTCCTGATCATAGTAGGTATCAGGCAATATTCTGTCATTTGTACATATCACCTTCTTTAATCCCCTCCTGCCGGCCCATCACTTAGCAAGATTTCAATCCCACCTGATGACGTGGGAAAGCAGAGAACAGAGATGTAAGGAGACTTGCTCAAGGTCACACGGGCCATGAGTGGAGGAGTGACACACGACCTAGGCATCCTGGACTCAGAGCCTACACGCTTTCTTTTTTTTTTTTAATTAAAATTGACCTACGATAGTATATTCGTTTCAGTTGCACAACAAAGTGATGTGATATGTTTATACGTTAGGAAATGAATACCACGATAAGTTCGGTTACCATCTTGTCACCATGCAGACTTCTTGCAGTATTATTGACTATTTTCCGTGTGTGTACGTTACACCCCCGGGGCTTGTTTGTCGTACAACTGGAAGTTTGTACCTCTTAATCCCTTTCCCCTATTTATTTCTCTCCTCCTCCCACCCTCTTCCCCTCTGCCGACGACCAGGCTGCTTGCTGTATCTCTGGGTCTGTTTCTGTGTCCGCTTCTTTTCTTTCTAGGTTCCGCGTATAAGTGAAATCATACTGCATTTGTCTTTGATTTTTTCCAATTAGCGTAACGCCCTCTTGATCCCTCAATCTTGTCGCAAACGGCGAGATTTCATTCTCCTCTAAGGCTGAGTAGTGTTCCGTTGTATGTCTACACCACTCCTTTATGCATTCATCTGTCGACGGGGACCTAGGTTGCTTCTGTACCTTGGTTATGGTAAATAACGCTGCAGTGAACATTGGGGGGCATGCATCTTTCCTGATTTGTGTGCTGCTTTCCTTCAGACAAAAGCCCAGGACTGGAACTGCTGCTTCATGTGATAGTTCTAGTTTTAAGTTTTTGAGGAAACCCCATACTGTTTTCAGAGTTATCTCTGCACCATTGTTTGAAGAGACTGTCTTTTCCCTACTGTATATTCTCGGCTCCTTTGTTGTAGATCAGTTGACCACATAAGTGCAGACCGATTTGTCAGAGCCCACAGCGTTAGCCGTCACCAACTGTAACCTCCGTACCGGCTGGGGTGACATGCAACGAGCCGGTGACATCGCTGTGTGTTCAGAGCTGGTGGCACCAAGTCTGGGTGAGGTACATCATCAGCCCTGCCCACAGTGCACTGGGGCGGGGATGACCCTCCCCGCCTGGCACGGGTTCTCCCGGTTGGTGACGTGGTGGGCTCCCTGCAACAGCCAACCCGGGGCAATCCTGCCAACCACAGCTAACCCTTCAGCCAGTCGTGAAGGTTCCACTGTATCCTTGACACCCCCTACTCTGTGCTAGGCTGGCCGTTGAGGTGGGAACGTGAGGAGGAGTTGCAGAACCAGTCCCTGCCCTCGGGAGTCGAGTCTTTAATCAGAGAGAGATGTGACACCCGTAGATGTGGTGGAGAGCATGTCATCGAGCCCCTGTGAGGCTGGGTTGCCAGCAGACGAGACGAGTGAGAGGATCAGGGTGGGAGGAAGTGGACAACACCAGGGTAGGGGGGTTATTTGCGGAGGCCGGTCCTAACTGCAGGATTCCCCACGGCCTACAGGAGGGCGCAGGGAGAATGCGTGGGCAGGTGTCTGAGGGACTCAGCGCATCCGCACCTCAAGGTCTTTGTCCCCATGCCCGTGTGTGAGGTGTAGGAGATCTGAGGGTCACGTCTGAGGCAGCACGCTATCCCAATTTACAGAGTAGGAGCCGGAATCCAGTGAGGTCCAGAGACGTGCCCCGTGTCAAATTCTAGGCCAGAGACCGAGCCACAGGCACCGAGAGACAAGAAATATTGGTATGGAGTCAGCGTAAAGTACAAGGGCCAAATAGCAAATCTGAATGTACCTGTAGCAAGAAAAGAGATCCAATCATTCAACTCAAAACCTCCCCACAAAAGGAAGCCCTGGCTTTGTCGGTGAGCTCTGTCAAATGGTTAAGGAAGAAACAATACGCTTCCTCCACAGACTCTTCCAGACTAGAGGAGGGACCGTTTCCTAACTCGTCCTAGAACAACGTTACCCTGCTGCCAATACCAGAAGTGACATCACAAAGAAAGAACAGACCAGTATTGGTCATGGATAGCGAGACATAAATCCTCAACGAAAGGTTAGCAAACCAAATCCAGCAACATTCACAAAGGGCTATGCAATATAATCAGTCGAGCTCTATCCCAGGATTGCAATATTGGTTTAACGTTCAACTTCCGTTAAGGTAACCACCACCTTGATGTAAGAAAGGACGGAAACCACCTGTCATCTAGAAAGACAACGAAGAAGCATTGGACAAAATTCAAGAGCTGCTGATGATAAAGATGCTCAGCCAACTCGAGATAGGAGGGAGCAGCCTCATTCTGATGAAGGTCACTCCCGGGAAATATCCAGCTCCCGTCACGTCATATTTCAGAGGGTGAGAATGAAGGCTGTCCCCTGGGGCTCCAGACCAAGACAGGGATGCCTGCTCCAGCCATGGGTGTCCAGCACGGACTGAAAGTCCTAGGCTGTGCGTCATGCAGGGCAAGAAATGAAATATGGAGACACTGGAAATGAAACCTGTGTCCACGCAAGTACCCGTACTTTGGTGTTCACGGCAGCATTATTCGTAATCTCAGAAAAGTGGGAACGGTCTAAAAGTCTGTCAGCTGGTGACGGATAAACAGGGGGTGCAATACTCATACGGCAGAATGCCAGTGATGGATGGAACGGGACGGACTTCTGATTTCTGCTAAGACATGGGCGAGCCACGGAAGCAGTCTGATGTGTAACAGGACCCAGGCAGAAGGCCCCCTTAGTACCTGAGTCAGTTTATATGAAATGCCCAGAAAGGGCAGATCTACAGACACAGACATGAGATTAGAGGACGCCTGGGCCTGTGGGTGCTAATGGGGATTGACAGCCGGTGGGAACAAGGAACCTTACTGGGGTGCTGGCAGCGTTCCAGAACTGGATTGTGGTGACAGTTGCACAGCTGTGTAAATTGACTAAAAGTCACTGCATTGGCCCCATTATATGGGCGAATCTTCTGGTGTATAAATTATACCTCAGTGAAGCAGTTTAGAAAAGATAATGCAAACGTCCTGGTAAGTCATGCAGGGGAGGAGATGCTGTTGCTGTTGTAACATAAGGACCCACCCCGCCCCTCTATTTCCATGTCCTGGGGTCCTGCGTCCTCTATGTGTCCAAGATGCTCCCGCCAGACGGGGTCACTGTGCACGTAGAACAGAATTGTGTGTCTGTGTGTCTTCACTCACAGGTGCCCTCTGTGCGAGCACAATTCAGTGGCTCCGGACAGCCTCCTGTAATCCACCCTGCGTCTCACATCGTACTGAGGTGATTTTCCATTCTTCTCAGATCCCAGGGCCCAGGCTTCTGTTTCCCTGGTAACTGATCTCAGCCGTCAGCTCCAGTACCTGGTTGCAGAAATACTTGTAGCGCGGGGAGAGGCTTGTTCCCCCTCGCCCCCGTCCACACACACGGCCCCCTGCGTGAGCTCAGCGACCAGGGAGGATGCTCAGCAGAGCGGTAACCAAGACAACGGAACTCCAGCCTCCTTCTTCCCCCAGGACCGAGGCCCGTTCCCTCCCCTTCACCTGCCTGGCTGTGTGGTAAAAAAGGAGACTCGGGGGCATTGACACCCTCCCGAGTCCCTGAAATTGTCTAAATATGTCAAAAACGGCTCTGGAATGAGAAGACACAATGAAATTTCAAACATTTTCATGACTAACAACTATGGCTTGGAAGTCCAAGATTCTCTTTAAAGGCAGGACGACGAAGCAGCATGTGATGATGCTTCTCCACCTCAGCTGGGCCTCAGATCTCCCCTGGGGACACCTTAGAAGAACAGGGGCTGGCGCGCCATCCCCAGGGAGTCTGAAGGAGCAGGTCTGGAATGTGGCCCAGACATGAGCATGATTTGAAAACTTCCCTGATGAAAGCCGGGATTGCGGCTGTGGAAACAGAACCATCCTTATAGGAGGAAATCTGAAATCAGACTTCGAGGCTCCTGTTTAGAAGGAAAGCAAGTTTTCATCGTGATCCGCTGTGCTTGGCAGGTATCTTGGGCTGAGGAAAGGGAGAACATGTCCAGTAAATGGGTGCCTTACACCTAACCCTGGACTTACTCTTCTCCACGTTCCTGAAAGCAAAATTTTGCACTTAAAGCCCTGCATTTGCTCATCAAACTTAGTACTTTGAGTTCTTGTCAGGATCCCTTGTGCTTCGTCACTTCAAAACATTCGTAAAACGTGGTAGAGGTAACAGCACGGGACAGAGCAGACTGGTTCCTTTAAAATGAAAGATGAGCAAGAATCTTACCGTTGCTGTAGAAGGATCAGCTGTCGGCTCATCTGCTGAGTGTGCTGAGTTGCATTTCTTTACTTTTTGGTATAATTTATGTCATCGAATTAACTCCCGTGCTCAGATAAGGCCAAACAGCACCAGCATATTTCTTGGGAAAAATAAAATCGCGCAATCCCTTGTTTCGTGCACACCCACGGACACCCACCTGCCCAAACTCTCTCTCTCTCTCAGGGGTCTCTTCCGCATCCTCATCCGCACGTTCCCAGATGGTGGGCTTACACTGCTGCGTCCTGACTCACCGGGGTTACACGTTGTGTGTCGAGTTCTTGCAAAGCGCAAGGCTTTCACTCTCTCGGGCATGTTACAAGCCCAGGTTCCCCTCCTCAGAGAGCCTGTTGAGGCGCGCACCCAAAGCAGGGCCTGGGCCGGTGCTCAGGGCTCATTCAGTGTGTCTTCCAAGAAGAAGGCCTCACAAGGAAACTCACCCCCATCCGTGGCAACGTGAAGATCATGGTTTAGCCTTTTCCAGAGCCGGCCCACGGCAGTCGTGGCCTGATGCCGATCACACCCAGCAGCATCCCGGGAGTTTGGTTTAGGGATTTGGGTGGGTGACCGTGTCCATCCATGAGAGGAGAAACACTGGTTTGGGGCCACCAGCAGATTCGCAGGGCTTGTGGCAGATCTGAGTGCAGATACCCCTTAAGTCTCTGCCTCCGGGGACTCTGGGGCCCAGTTAAACCTACTTTGGTAGACCTGGTAATGGGAAAGGGGATAGAGATGAAAAGCATACAAGGGGATAGAGATGAAAACAAGCCAGGTGGGTAAAAGCTCGGGGGCGGGGGGGAACTGGCCACCCAAGGATCGTGTAGAGGAGGAGAGGAGGGCAGGGGTTGGAAGCCAGGGGGAAACAACCCAGATGTAGGAGGAGATCAAAGCAAATGGACCAACAAGGAGACTTAGAAGTCGTGGACTGAGAGGTAGGAGGAAACCAGGGTGGACTCCTGTCACAGATTCTGACAAAGGGAAGCATTTTGAAAAAGGAATGTCACTGTGGCCAAGACGGCACTGGATACGACGGCTTGACAAATGGAGCTCTTTGGAGACGTTAGGCAGGGGATGTCCACGGATGGGAGGACACTGAGCAGGAAACAAGAGGTAAACCAAGCAAGCATGCTACTGGCGTCTACACTTCCAAGAGGCTTGGCTTGAGAGGAACCAAAGAAGCAGAGGGTAGTAGAAGCAGAGGTGCTTTCGGGGTTTGTAATGGTCTGTTCCCCCAAAGAGGGGGAAAACCAGGATGCAGGTTCCAAAAATTCCTCACAACCCTGAGGACTGTTGACTAGATGAGAGTGGAGAGTTGGGATGAGCCTCACAGGTGTTTCTTCAAGTTGAGGGCGGCGGGGGTTGGGATGGGGGTGGGGAGTGGTTTCAAAGCAGCAGTGGAGTTGCAGGCAGGTTTCCATCATCTCCCTCTGGGCCCCACTCCAGACTCTGTGACCCATGGTCAGAGCAGGAGCCGGTCGGGATGGGATGCTGGCAGCACAGGCTCACTCATGTTACTCAGACCACACGGGCGCTCTGGTTTATTTATTCTCCCTGACTGACCTGAGCTTCATCACGAATGCCCACCCTCCAAACTGGTTAGTAAGGGCAAAGAAAACCCTAGGTTAGAATTTACTCCTAATCTGGTAAGTGTGGTCGGATGCAGTCACGTGAATGGTCCACATAACACAAATGCTCAGTCTGTTTGGGTGAATAACTCGGTCTCCCGTTTCCAACCCACCTCCACACCACTTCTTTCCACGATGGGCAAGGGGTACGTGTCATAAGTCTGGCAGTGACGTGCAAAGGGGATACCTATGTTGCTCACGGTGGCCTCGGGGGTCCCTGAGGGAAGGACGACTCTCGTCTCCTGGGTCCAGATGGTGATGCTGACCTGCACCGCCCCTAGGGGAGGCTGGGCAAAGTTGCACTCCTGTCTCTCTGCTCTTGGTGGGGAGCCCGTGCTCCCTGGCTGACTCAGCCTCAACCACTCTGCTGGCATCTGCTGACCCTCTCTGCCTCTGGGTCTCATCGTCCATCCCACCCTGGGCAAGGCTGTCCACCCCACAGTCTCAGCTGCAGGGTCACCTAGCCCCCTGCCTGCTCCAGCTTCCTCAAGACCCAGCCACTGTGCACATTCCTCCCTCCGGGAGCGAGACCCCTGGGATCTCACCTCCGCCACAGCAGGAACCACAAGCAGCTCCAGAAAACTCTGTTCCTGAACCCCAGCCATCCCTCTCCCTGAAGAGGCTGTTGGTGCAGAGTGTGCTCCCATGAGCCCCACGTGTGATGGGGTGAGTCCTCCTGTCCTTGGTGCTCCCCTTTATTTCCTGACACACCTTCCTTGTCTGAGCTATCTCACCTCTGCCTGCCATTCACTGCCTCTCTGGGCCGTTCCTCACTGTGACTGGGATGGACGTTCTTTTCTTTGGCTTGTCATTCATTTGACCCGGGACTTCCCATACTATGCAGTTCAGGAGGGGCACGTTTTAAAATACGTAGTCACACAAGCCTCCCCCGCCACCCAAATATACAAAGAAACAAAGGGATACATAACAGAAGGGTCACAGTGCCAAAGTTGGTGCCTGAGATGCTGGGTAAGACGAGCAGTGAAGAGTGTCTTTGGGATCAGGAAGTATGGCTACTAATGACGGCCTTGACAAGACCAGTTTCGACGGAGTGATAGCGACGAAAGTTCCACTGAAGGGGGTCGAGGAGAGAATGGTGTGAGCATAAGTTGAAGCAGTTGTGCTCTGGAGGGCAGCAGATAATGTGCCAGTAGCCGCAGAATGGCCTGGTGAAGGGGGTGCGTTTTCCCCTTTGTTGTGCAGCGCTCCCGTGTGAAGCAGCAGGTGATGGTTCAGGAGAGAGGAGTGACCTTTGCAGGAGCAAAGTCCCCGAGGAGGTGAAAGGCATGGGATCCTGGGCAGAGGTGAGGGGCTGGGTGCAGTCAGGAGCATGTGTGCAGAGGGGCGGCAGAGTGCCAGGGCAGAAAAGCTCTGAGAAAGTCCCACGGGACTGCTTCTGTCTTCTCCAGGAGTTACTGGGGGTGGGGGGTGGGGTCAGTAGAATGGAGGAGGGTTACTAGTGGGTGATAGTTTAGGTAGGTGAGTTTAGGTATGTGAGAGTATTTAGGTAGGTGTAGTAGGTCAGGTAGGTGAAAGGCGATTCCCTCCTGGTCATGGATGTAAGATAAAAAACAATTCCGTGAGCTTTTAACGTTTTGTCATCAATGCTTAGGTGCTCAGACAGGCAGGGAACGATTAGGGAGGAGGGGGCAAGGAGCACAAGACGTGTGTTGGTGGGAGAGAGCTTACAGCCCTGGGTAAGCTGAGTAAGAAGGGGCCTGGTGGACGGCGTGGAAGGCTGTGGGGTCCGTGGACTGGATGTTTCCAGGAGGTCGAGGCTGTCGACGCAGGGGCATTAGAGGGAGGTAGCTGGATGAGCAGGACTTGGTGTTGCGGGTGAGGAGACTGCACTGCTAGAAAAAGGACATCATGGAGGGGCGGGGCTTTCCTGATGCCCAGGGGGTGACGGTGGGCAGGGGGATGCTCGGCTGGGGAGGAGGAGAACATCGCTGAGGACAGAGAGGCCCCTGGTTGACCCTGTGAGTGGGCACCGGGATCGCCAGGACGGATCCGAAGAGTGAGGGCTGAGAGGAGCACGGTGTTCCCCCGGCGAGCGCCTTCCCAGGCCCGGGGCCGGTCGGAGAAGAATGACCAGGGGATTGGTCCGGGCGGCTGGGACAGTCGGCGACAGGACATCACCGATCTGCTTCCTCAGCCCACAGTTCACAGCACGGTTCCGAGGAAACCTCTAGCGGACCCGGGCAGGGAGCCTGGCACGGACCTCACTGCGCTCCTGTGCGCAGGCCCAGAGCCCGTCAATCGGAGCGTAGCCTCCGGGAAGTCCTGTGCGCCCGGACTTCCGGCTGCTGTTGCTATGGTTACGGAGCGGGGCTAGGTGAGGCTGCGGTGATGGGGACGGTTCGGCCGGTTCCCTTTCATCCTGTGGTCCTCGTAGGCATGCCTCCTACCTTCCGCATCCACGCTCTCCAGCACTCTGCCTGGAAAAGGAGCGGAAAAGGTGGATTTGTTTTCCTCTGGCTTGTAGCGCTGTTTCTCTCGCCTGCAGGTGGCAGTGTTGCGCCGTGTAACGCCGCCGCTCTTTTCTCCCCCGCCCTTCGCGCTTGAAAAAACTCCAGGGACCCTTTTCCAAAAGAGTTGGCGACTTCCTTCTGCGCCTGTGCCGGCCGGCCGGTTAAGACTGGATCTGTGCGCCTCAGTGGGGACCCTTCTGAAAACTGTCTGCCTGGAGACTAAAGCCTTTTTCTTTTCAGTTTGGCTTTTCTTTCTGTTAAGGGGCTGACTAGGTTCCTTAGCAAGTTGTACTTTTGCTTTTCTGAAAGGCCTTGTCGTTGGTTTTCCCCAAGTTGCTTTCAGTTTATGGACCTTTACTACTGTATTCTTCAGTTAGGCCAGTCACTCATCCTCAGTGCAGAAAATTTGGAGGACAGATAAAATATAGTAAAGAAGACTCCCAGTTGCCACTGATGATCATTAATACTACTTTGTGATAAA